ACTCCTCCTGAACGGCTCAGCCGATCTCGGTGAGATATCGCACACTTTTTGAACATGTCCTTGGCTCGGCACGCGCGAAATTTCACTCTCCTAGCTTAACTGGTTCAGTTTTTAGAGCCGAAAAACACCTTAAAAGGGCGAGAAATCGAGTTTTCTGCAGGCAGATGCCTTCTGTCTTGATCCCCCAGCCTTAACGAGTTAAATCGTCACAAGGGTCAAGATCGTGTCGTGTTATCTGTAGATGAAGCAACTCTATTTAGAATGAAGGGGGGTCTGGGGGGTGGAGCCCCCCAGCATGCAACAAGTTGGACGTAACCGACGATGGACAAGCCATTGCCTGCCGAAGGCAGGATAGCGCCGCAGGCCAGGGTAGGTACGCCAGGCGCGGATTGGAGGAACAGGCAGCGAGACATCGCGAAGCCTGTTACGACAAGACGCGGTCTGGCGTAAACCTACCTTGTGATTTTTCTATTTGGACGCGTCGAGTGATCACAAGTACCCTTTTCCCAAAGTGTGGTAGTATGGAGAATGGCCTACCTAGCGAGACGGTGGTCAGAAGGCCCAGCACAATCTGAATCTTGGTCTCCATACTGCGAGGAAAGCGCGAGCACGACTGACCGGCGGCTGCGTCGCGGCAAGCCGACCCCACTGGGCTGGCTGTGATAACAGGGTTAAGGTCATGCATGAATCGTGGCAGCAAAAAAGAACTAGAGCGAAGTACCGATCAAAGGATAACAACTTTCGACGAATTGGGACACAAGATTTTCCAACGGACAACACCACTGTGGCTAAAAGCTACGGAAAATTCTGTAAACAGCTTGTGGTAATTTTCCGTAGCCCCCTTGTCAGTATTCTCCGTAGGCTCTTGCAGTATTTTCCGTAGGACCGCACAGTATTCTCCGTAGTACCTTTCAGTGTTCTCCGTAGGACTATACAGTCTTCCAGGCCCTACGGAGAAGACTGTGCGGTCCTGCGGAGAATACTGTACGGCCCTACGGAGAATACTGTAAGAGCCTACGGAGAATAATGATAAGAGAGCTACGGAAAATCCTGGAAAAAAAATTAGGAGAATTTTCTGTGCCGTCAACGGGGGTAACTTGGGACACCGGGGGTAACTTGGGACAGTCTGCCCTGTACAGCTTGTTGGTGCTGCCATTCAGCGACGGGGGTTCCTAGCGTCAAACCCGCGGCAGGGTTTTGTTTCAGAGGCCTCAGGGCACGCGCGGAAAAGTAGAAAAGGCACATAACATCACAATTAGTATTTGAGAAACAGGAAACTACATAATAGAGTTTTCGACAAAATATGCCAAACATTGACAAGTTGACCCTAGTGCAAGGAGTGAAATGCAGATTTGGCCGATTAGTCTCTCTGGGCTGTTCGATCATACACAGCCAATAACGTTCGCGAAAGGGCGTTGATTATAGTTTTGCCATGTTCGGTCCAGACTGCATTTTATCAAAAATCGAAATTTTACGGGGTAACTTGGGACAGTTTTTTCCTCATGTTTCCAGCAGTCCTAGCCTCCAACGAGTTGACTGACCCGGTCCCTGAGATAACATAAACTTCGGATTTTACGCTGATGATGGAAATCATCTTCTGGTAATCCATAATTTGAAATTTTCAGAAAATGCGTGGAAAATACCAGTAGAAAAGAGAGTTCCACGTAGAGCCCTGGATATAGTCCAATATCGGTCCTACAAGAGTTCCTAGGCCTGAATTCTTGGTTTACACGTTGTGACTTTAATTTATTACATCCATTAACATCAATAGATGCATGGGAACGAAGCTAGTTACCTACTGTCCCAAGTTACCCTCGGTCATGGGGTTGGGACACACTTTCAAGACAGCTTGGAAACGAGGTAATCGAGGCAAATGAAACAGACAAGCATGAACTCATGGGGAAAGGGTCAAACTTTAACATAGTAAGGATCCAATTATATGGGTTGAAAATCTTACCTCTGGCGTTCAAAAAACGTGAAAAAGTGTCCCAAGTTACCCCCGTTGACGGTGCCTTTTTGCCATAGTGACTTCGTCTGATTTTGCAAGATTTCGACTGGTTCTAAGCCCAAAATATTCTTGTTTTGTGCCTTTTTGCAGGAAGATTTTAGTTTTTCAGAGAATGAATGCACTGATGTGCACTGCAGTGAATACCCAAGTGTGAGATGGTTTCCGAGCGAGCCAAATTGGCCGTTGTGTTGTGTTTACATTTTCGCATGTCGGTGGGACATTCATTTGTTCGAAACCACTTGTGTTGGGGTATCGTTTTCGTTGTTTCAACGCGAGAATGCACAATTTGGTGGCACTCATGTGATTGCTCAACACTCGTAAAAATTGTTCTCGGTACTAGGGCGTTACGCGCTTGAGGCACGCAGATATTCAGCCACAACTACTAGCCGGTCCAGCCGCGGCCTGCGCTACCCGACACTCAAGATAAGCAACCCAGCTCAAAATTCCACCTGGAAATTGGTCTGGATTTATTTCCATTGTGGAAAGTAGAATCCAGAGGGATCTGAAATCCAGCTGGTATTTGGAACGTTTTCCCATCTGGAAAAAAAGTAAACACATGTTTTTTCCATTTTTGAATAAATGATTTTTAGCACCTCCGCAGAGCGCTTAAAGTTTTTAACAGTACTAAAAACATGAAAAAATCATAACTTGGCCATTTTTGGTCCAATTTTCAATTACAAACCGGAATTTTTTTATCTTTTGGACGGTCATTGCGAAAATAAATATGCCGCCCCAATTTTTAGACTCGCCTTATTTTGAGGGGCAGAAAATTACTAAATCTTGGCCCAAATGGGCAAGAGTTTCAGCTTGTGGGCCGCTGCAGACACTCCAAGGCCACCCTCTGAGAATGGCGGGTTGCTTCCACCTCATGGCAAGCCACATCGACGAAATTGGAGTGCCGCGACCCATTTGCCTATCCCCGAGGAGCATCAAATCCTTAATTTTTTAAGAAAATCTTTTAAGGTTGATTTTTCTTGGGGCCTTCTGGCACTCAGATGGCCACCCTTCCGCACGGTTGGGTTTCCACACTACGTGATTAGCCCAAACAATAAGATTTGAGTGTGCAGCACCTTAGGCAACGCCCCAAGACCAGCAAGAAAATTTGTTCATTTTGCTGGAGTTTTCTTGCAGCGTTGCGTGCTTGCGGTCCGTCACGTCAGCATCGGAGCCCAAGTGACAACACGAAGTTTGGGTACCCAACCGTGTGAAAAGGAGGCCATCTGAGTGCCAGAAGGCCCCGAGAAAAATCAATATTAAAAGATTATCGAAAAAAATCAAGGATTTGATGCACCTGAGGGACAGGCAAATGGGACCCGGCACTCCAGTTTCATCGCTGTGGCTTGCCATGTGGTGGGAGCACCCCGCCATGCTCAAAAGGTGGCCTTGGAGTGGCTATAGCGGCCCACAAGCTGAAACTCTTGCCCATTTTGGCCAAAATTTAGTAATTTTTTGCTCCTGCAAATTTGGCAAGCCAGAAAGATAGGTCGGCAAAATTTTTTTCTTAAGGAGCGTCCAAAAACGAATAAATCCCCGTTCCGTTTTTAAAAATCGGACAAAAATTGCAATGTTATGATTTTTTCATGTTATAAGCACTGTTAAAAACTTTGAGGGCCCAACAGAGGTGCTAAAAATCATTTTTGGCCCGTCCCGTTTATTTTTTGTAAAAAAATGACGGAGGGACGGGCATATAGTATGATGCATGCTGTGCGTCCGTTCGTTCGTTCGTCCGTTCGTTCGTTCGTTCGTTCGTCCGAGGACTTCCCGTGGTCCGATCTTGACCAAATTTGGTATGCAGCCTCCTTGGGTGACCCTAAGAACCGCCCGGTGGCAGCAAATCCGATCCGAGCCCCGGGGGGCGCTGCTGCAGGTGCATCATGGTCTACATGGGGTCGAGGAGGATCTCGGCAACGGATGCAGCTAGGAGGGCATGTAGGGGTATTTTTTGGAATCGGGGCGACGAGAGTAAACCAATGGTGCCAGTTTCGAGCAAATCGGAGAAGTTTGGACCCGGGTTCAAATCCCAGCGGGGTATTTTTGGAACATTCTTTTTTTTCGAGTTTTTGCATTGTTTCTGATGTTTTTGAGGGTGCTGATGACGAAAACGACATTTATTTTAACCCCAGACTCAGATTTAATTCCCGTCAGGGTCAAACATAGGAGAAATTCGTACGTTTCTTAATGTACGGGACGGGCCAAAGTTGCCGATGTATATCGCTACTTTTCCTGTTATTTCGATAAAGAAAAAACACGTACTTCCTTTTTTCGACGTAGCATCGAATTCCGGGCGGCGTTGGACGATCCGAGCAACTTCATTTTCTTTTGGACCACCCTAGGACACACGCGACGTCTCGAGAGAGGCAGGGGTTCGAAGTAACCGCTGCACTGTGCGTGCTACGCACTAAAGGTTCCAGGGGGGGGGGCTTTTGGGAGGTCATCGATTGTTGCCAAAGTCGCTGTACCCGAGGGGTTTTGAGGGCGAGAAACACGTTGCCGTCTGGACCGAAAACCGGAAAAGAAATCCAGGGGCGGATCGATCAGTAGTAGGTGAACCTGAGCCTACCGATAGTTGCAACAACCACAACGCGATACCTCCTAGCAACACACACGTAATTCGGGGGTCCTCGGGAAAACCCACGCACTTCCCCAGCCCGCAGCAAAACTCACGCAGTTCTGCCAGCATTGTGAAAAGACACGCAGTTTCTCGGCCAGGCCTGGGCCAGCGGCAAAATACACGTACTTCGGTAAAGAAACACGTACTTCTTTTCATTTCTCTTGTTATGCAATACAGGTTTCTATTTCCAGCTAATTGGTAATCTCCTGAACACTTCACACTCACAATCACATTTAAATAAACCGGGCATAGCCTGCTTTTGTTTATTACAAGTGCATCCAGTATAGTATAGCTCGATTACATCCGGCTTTACCGCGTCCTTTCGTTAGTGACAACAACGCTGCTTCGTCGCCGATCATGGTTTAGTACGTTGAAGTCTATTCTAATAAGGCATCTTGGGTTTAAACTCCAGCTGAATCGATATGACTGATGCTATTTTCGCATTGGTGCATACAATCCAGTTTACAATTTGCCGATTCGCCTTTTTTGTGAGTGTCGTCACAACCTAACCTGTGCATCATGCTTGTTTGCATTTTTCAGAGTTCTGTATTGTTCTTATCAAAACAGAAATGAATGTTTCCAATCGGAGCCGGCGTCTTGTTATGGATGGTAGTAGTTATTTTTATCTTTCTGTTGTTAGAAGACACAACACTGTTCATTTCGTGACTTGTTTCCTTTGTTTTCAGCCTTGCCTAAGCCGCCTCCTGATGAGACTGAGACTGACAAAAGTATGTCATCTTGGATCAGTATGATGTGGTTTCTTTTCAAGTTATGAATACGCCTTAATTGTTTCAATTTTTTGTTGCAGCAACACTTGTACAGAATTGGCTGTCAGAGAGTCATCCCACCAGCCGCTCCCCTCCAAGTTCTCCCCGAATCAACATAGGCAGCGGAGACAAACCCAGTGGTGCTTCAGGTTTCCCTTGAGTCATTTTATTTAAAAAGTTGTGCTCAGGTTCACTTTTACAATCATAATGTTAATTAATAGTTCATTATGAACTTAATTAAAAAGAGCTTGTTTTGAAAGAGCAGAATGTTTATGGCTCGATCAAGTGAAATTGCTTATCAAAATTATAGCATTCAAACTATTCTTTTCGATTTTGGTGGAAAGTTATTTTAAAGTTTCATTTTGTATGCATTAAATGCAATTGAAGCACTTTCAGTCTTAGGATTTGTTTTAACTTCTGCCCTGAGTATGCACTTCCAAAGTTTATCAATGTAGTGACAGTATCTCTGTGAGTAAGTGGGTAACCACTTTTCACACTTAAATTTAGTGTTAGTTTGGTTGGGAAGGATTTCACATTCCAATGTCCTAGTTAACCCGAATCCCCTCCATTCCTTAAATGTTATGTACTCGGTAAGTCATCATTTTTTCTGTGGTTTTTATCTGACACAATAATTTGTTTTGACAGTAACTTCTTGCAGTGCGAGGTTTCGTTTTTATTAGTTTTGTTTACTTTTAGGGAAAACCAAACTTTATTTGTATTGTGATCCTTTCTTTTGTTTTCTCAGGACAAAATGTTGCCCAAAGCATAGAACCCACTGTAGCAGAGCCAAGAGGGGCTCAGAAATCAAATGGGAAGGAAATAATTGGACAGCAAGGTGCAGTGAACCAAACAGTGTTGGTTGCTTCAAAGCCAACAGGAGAGAAAGCATCGCAACCTGGCAAACCTGCTGCAGATGGTAAGAACTAAACTTTCTTAATGTTTAAAGTAAATTTATATGAAGTTTTAATCCTTTCTTTTATTTTCTCAGGACAAAATGTTGCCCAAAGCATAGAACCCACTGTAGCAGAGCAAAGAGGGGCTCAGAAATCAAATGCGAAGGAAAGAATTGGACAGCAAGGTGCAGCGAAGCCATTAGTGTTGAAGGCTTCAAAACCAACAGGAGAGAAAGCATCGCAACGTGGCAAACCTGCTGCAGTTGGTGAGAACAAAAATTTCTTAATGTTTAAACTAAATTGGTTTACATTTTATTAATATGCATAATACTTGATTGAGATTGTATTGCCTTTCTTTTTTTCTCAGCTCAAAATGTTGCCCATGGCACAAAACCCTCTTCAGCAGGGCAAAGAGGCGTTCAGAAACCAATTGCGAAGCAAAGTAATGGACAGCCAGGTGCAGCGAAGCCAAGAGTATTGGTTTCTTCAAAACCAACAACAGGACCGAGAACATTGCCTCATAGCAAACCTGCTGCAGTGGGTAAGAACACAAATTCCTTAGTGTGTAAAGCAAATTGGTTTAATTTTTAAAGAAAAAAAGGTGCTACTACAATGAAGTCAACAACTCCTAGCGCATTAACTTGTGTTTTCATTGGTAAGGACTTGTAAGCCATCTAGTTACCCTCTGTAATCAAAATGTGATACAATATTGTTAAGAACATTGTTCCTTATGTCTTTAGACTAATTTTAGTCTGTTCATCACCATATTATATGTATTAGAACCAAAATAAAATTGTTAATTTGTATTAAGCTTATCACACAATTTTATTTTTGTTATATAATCAAATGTGTGGTGATGAAAAGACTAAAATTGGTCTAAGGGCATAAGGAATAATGTTGTCAACAATATAGCATCACATTTTGATTACAGAGTGTAACCATTTGGCTTGCAAGTCCTTACAAATGAAACACTTAAAACACAAGTAGATGATTGATGAGTTTGATGAGATAGGAGCACCTTCAAACTTTGCAATAGTAATTTTCCTGTAAAGGTGCTTCTAAAATGAGCTCATTGCACGAATGATACTTTTGCTGAATTTAAGAGACGGTTGATTTGTCTGGTGGCATTCAGTGAGTGCACATTTCACACACTTGATGTCATCACACAAGTTAACCATCTCTATCAATTAAGCAAGAATATAATTAGACCACCAATGAGAACATTGTGGTAGCAACTTGAGATTGTATTGCCTCTCTTATTTTCTCAGCACAAAATATTGCCCATGGCACAAAACCCTCAGGGCAAAGAGGCGTTCAGGTACAAAGTGCGAAGCAAGGTAAAGGACAGCCAGGTGCAGCGAAGCCAGCAGCATTAGTAGTTTCAAAACCAGGACAGAGAACATTGCAAAATGGCAAAACTGCAGCAGTGGGTAAGAACTAAAACTTCTCTATGTTGAATATAAATTGGTTTAAATTTTTAAAAAATACTTGAAACTTGATTGAGATTGTATTTTCTTTCTTATTTTCTCAGCACAAAATGTTGCCCATACTACAAAACCCTCTGCAGCAGGGCCATCTCCAAAGCAAGCTACAAGACAGCCAGTTGCAGCAAGGCGAACTGCATTCGTTGCTCCAAACCCTATGGCAGGGCAGAGAATGTTGCAAGATGATGGTTTTGCTTCTGTAGGTAAGAACTTTGTAATTAATTGTCTATGAGAATGTGGATGACACTATTCTTTTTTATTTTTGCATGATAGATATCTGTCTTGATTTATTTTTTTAAATTTAAATCTAATTTGTTTCTAGTTAAGAGACTTTCGTTTGGTTCATCTCCAAATCGTGAAGACCCTTCTGAAGAAGGTACGTGTTTCATAAATGTTGTAACCAGAGCTAGCGTTGAAATTGTGCAACCTTTTACTCTATTATTTTGTAAATTTACTCTTGATTGAAGCAGACTCTGAAATCGAACCAACACCTACTCCCAATGCTACAAAGGAAGGCAGAAAGCGGCCAGCTGCTCCATCACTTCTGTCTGATGAATCGTCAAGTAAGAAAGGGAGAGTTGACCAAAGGAAGAGAAAACTAACTTCACCGCTACCTGTTGTTACCATTAAACGAGGTATGAGAAGTGATTTCACCATTGAAGTGTCATGTTTATACATATACATCATTCAGTTTCCACTGGTTTGATGGGCTTTGATCCACATTTTGTGTCTTTTGCAGGGAGATCATCATCTGTTTTAGTCAAACCTACAAATGAAGAAGGCCTGGGGACAAACTGGAGGAAGCATGTCAAAGCATCTACCCAAACTGACACCACCAGAGAAACACGAGAAAATATACAGAGTAAGATGCTTAAATTTTGAGTTGCTGCCTCAATGAGAAATAATTTTGACTCATCACTCATCTGGTTCCTTGTTTACTTTTAGGTGTATGAAAAGAGCTGTGTCAACTCTTGTGCATTTATTGAGCAAAGCAAAACGAGATAAAACAAAAGAAAAAGTAAAACTCTAAAAAGTTTAACAGTTTAGAGCAGAGTTGCAACCCACTGAACTTTTCACACAGGCCAAATTTGATGTTAGTAGAATGCAGCTCTGCTCTAAACTTTTTTACTTTTACAGAGTTGACACAGCTGTTGTCATTCACTGATAAGGCTCACCAGATAGTGCCCAAGAAACCGAGCTACTCTCATAGAACTATAAATACATTTTCTTCCTGCTAGTAATTTTTTAAAAATTTTTTTGCAGTTGAAGTTATTACCAATGAGGCAGAATTTCATAGTCCAGCAAAATGGAATGTGCGTGTCTCCTCAGACATTCCCAACTCACCAATTATTGTCATATCCAGTCCGGCTACTTCAGGTGTGTGTTGCAACATTTCAATACGGAATTCCCTATTTTTTGAATTGACTCTCTTAACAAGGCATCATATTTTGTTTGATTATTTTGTGTATTTCAGGAAATTGGCAAGTTATTGATGACAAGAGTGAGGATGGAGAGGCTGAAGGCTCTGATGGAGATGACATCTTATTCAGTCACAATGGTAGTGCACCTAATTTCATTCTGTTATAAAAATTGGTTTTATTTATCAGCTAAATATTTATTGCATTTTTGTTCTCCAGGCCTCGATAATGGAAATGAAATTTCCTTTGTGAATGATGCTGATCCTGATGATAGTTTGTTGGATCAACTCAATAATAGCAACTTAAGTAAGCACCATTCTGAACTTTCTTTGTTTATGTTATTTCAATAGGCCCCATCAGAAGTGAATGTACACTGCTTATGTCATGATTGCAGTTTTATACTAATTTTCCTCTGTTTATCTTAGGTGGTGCAAGCACACAGCGTCGTGATCCCAAAGTCAGGATGGTGTATTCAAATGACAGCATTCAAACGGATTTCTTCATTGATGATGAAGAAAGTGATGAGGATGATCCAACGCCAGATGAACAGGAAAATCCAACGCCAGATGAACAGGAAGTTCCAACACCAGATGAACAGGAAGAAGTTCCATTGGAAGAAAACCGAGCCAAGAAGCGAACCAGAAATGACATCCCAAGGGACAACACTAGGAAGCGATTAACCCATGAATCACGATGGAAGCGGACAATGAGAAAAGAAGGTTTCAACAATGGCTCTGCTTACATAACTTCAAGAGGCATAGAGAAGCCAGCTAGAGAAATTAAACCACCATGTTCCGAAAAGTGCAACAGGTGTGGGAGAAGATTAACAGAACGAGAGAGAAAAGATATTTTTGACAATTTTTGGGCTTTGGAAAGCATAGATAAAAAGCGGGATTATATTGGTCGACTAATTGATGAGAAGGTTCCGGCTACATGCTCAACATCTCCTGAATGTGCTCGAAAAACCATTAGAAGCTACCACTTTGTAGTTGATGATGAGGAAATTCGTGTCTGCAAGACAATGTTTATTAACACTCTTGGTGTGCAAGACACTTGGGTTGAAACAGCACTGAAAAAAATTGGACCAAATGGACTGATATCTGATCAGAGGGGTAAGCACCAGAACCGCCCATCCAAGGTCACAGAAGAAACTATTGAATCTGTCTGCCAACATATTAATTTATTCCCAAGAGTTGCATCTCATTATACAAGGGAAAGAAGCAAAAGGGAGTACTTGGAAACTCATGTCCACAGCATTCAAAGAATGTATAAATTATATAAGGAATGGGCTGCTGAAAACAATGTGAAGGTGCCTGCCTCATTACCCACTTACCGATTAATTTTCAATACCAGATTTAACTTAGGTTTCTTTCTACCTAAGAAAGATCAATGTGAATTGTGTGCCAAATGGAAAAAGTCAACTCCAGAAGAAAGAAAAAATATAGTAAGAGAATATGCAGTACATCTGGAAAACAAAAAAGATGTGAGAAGAATGCATTACAGGGACCTTGCACGTGTTTCTGACAAAATATGCTTTGCATGCTTTGATTTGCAAAAGGTGCTAATATGCCCACGCTCTGAAGTTTCTGCTTTTTTTTATAGAAACAAACTCTCCATGTACAACTTTACAATCTATGATACTCGTCTTCATGAAGGCCATTGCAACTTATGGACTGAAGTCGATGCTCGTAAAGGCTCCAATGAGGTTGGAACATGTGTTTTGAAGTTCATCGAAACAAAAGTATCAGAAGGCATCAAAGAGTTCATCTTTGAATCTGATGGGCCCACAAGTCAAAATAGAAACAGGATGGTTTTTAATATGTATTTGACTGCGGCAGCCAAGTTTGAAATCAAGATCACGCATAGGTTTCTGGAATCTGGCCATTCTTATTCCGAGGCAGATTCCATGCATGCACTCATTGAAAAGGAAGCAAAGATTGTACAGGAAATTTTTTCTCCCGAAGAATGGGCTACTCTAATGAGGAAAGCCAAGCAAGAAGACCCTCCTTACATTGTTAAGTATTTGAAGAATGATGAGGTGTTGGAACTCCATGAATTACCTGAACAGAAAGAAAATTGGGAAAGGGACTCACAAAACAAAAAAATTTTGTGGTCCAGAGTTAGGGAGCTTGTATTCGATGGTAATACCCCAAACATAATTCTCTTCCGATACAATTTCAAAGATGAAATGTCAAAGGTTCACATCAAACTCAATGAAGGTGGTGAAACTGACAGGAAAAATCATGAGTTTGCTCCTGCCTACAATGGATTGTTCCCCGTCTCTGCCATAACCAAGAAACATCTGGGTGAATTAATGAAGAGCCTCGCAATCCCTTCAAAGTATCATCCTCTCTATCAACATTATATTTCGATTGGAACTGAGCAATAAATGGGCTTACTTCATTCATCAGTATTTCAGTATATGCATTTCTTCTAAACATGCTGTTGGAGTGTGTTTATTATACACAAGTTTCTGTAATATTTATTTTTGTTTTGACAGTAGGCAATGTCCTGTTTATATTTTTTATTCAATTCGTACTATTTCTGTTTGCATAACTACTGTGGTTCTTGCAAGTATTATTTTATTTGTATTATTATTTGAAATAAAAGTGACAACCCTGTCTCGCTGTTCATTAAGAACCCTGTATTATTTGTATATTTCTACTAGTCGCTTTCTTGGCTTTGGTTGCCTCACTAAAAACCCACATCAAACCGTAATTTTTATTTTGGAGATTTTCAGCTTGACTGTATCTAAGCAAAGGAAATATTTGACTCTGCCACTGCGAAGCAGTTAAAGACTTTTCAAGCTTCCAATTTTGATGATAATTTTGATACAACTGGAACATACTAAACACCGACAAAGTATTGTCATGAAAAGAATGCTAACGCTAGATTTGCATCTTCTCCAATTTTCGCTCCTAAATCATTCCAACAATTTGCGTCCAGGGGTAGAAAACAACTCACTGCCTCTATCAAGAAAATTATGCTGAATCTGCAGTATCCTGGCCCTGCTGCTGCCCATAGCACCGGCACACCGCCAAACTGCGTGAATACTGCCCCATCTACCGAACTGCGTGCTTTTTGAGGTGGCCTTGCAGAACTACGTGCTTTTTGGGGGGGGGTTTGCAGAACTGCGTGTCTTTTCACAATGCTGGCAGAACTGCGTGAGTTTTGCTGCGGGCTGGGGAAGTGCGTGGGTTTTCCCGAGGACCCCCGAATTACGTGTGTGTTGCTAGGAGGTATCGAACGAGGTTTCCTTTTTCAGGATAATATTAATTTTTTTAACAATAATGAAGAAAATCTTGTTTTTTTTCCTTTGAACACTCCCGATTTTGGCAACAATCGGTGCACTCTCAAAAGTTCTCCCCCCCCCCCCAGAATGCTGGATCCACCCCTGGATTTCGTTCTGCTTTTTGATTTGGATAGAAACGAGTTTTGCACCATCAAAACCCTCGGGGAGTGATTTCAGCCACAATAAGTCAACCCTCTCCTGGAGTGCTGGATCCGCCTCTGCCGGCTGTTTTCAGCGTTCAATTTTGTCTAAATAGGTTTCTTCCCCCTCCCCCCAAAAAGAAAGAAAACAATCTGCCACAAATTTGAGACGATCGGCAGCTATTTCGCGAGGCGCAAGCGGCAGTTGAACAGAGTTCAACTTTTGATTCAATTACCCGAGAGTAAATCTAAGGCATACATTGAATTTGGCAGCTCGTCAGCTTTCTAAAAACATATAATGCCGTAATACACGTGTAATATCCCCGTAAGACCGCGTAATACCGAGTACTCTGTACACGACTTCTTGGAGTGTTGACCCTTTTAGTACAGACTACTCGGTATTACACTTGTGATTTTCGAAAAGTCGCAGACGCCGAGAAAATTGTTGCCAACCCCAACCCACGAAAATAAATTAACTGCGTCCTTGCTGCTACGAACTTTTTACCCAAGATAGACTTCAAAGATGTTCCGATGTCGGGCCACCGTAAAAATGAACGTGACATTTCTGCAAGGGTTCCGGAGTATTTAGAAATCTCGAAAACGAATCAAAAAGTTTTCTGTGGTTGGCACATTTATTTGTAGGTATGATAAATAAATTTTTGAGCTTAATTGAATGCCTTGTTTGGACGCTGGTCGAAAATAAGATACTCCTGTTCATAATTTAGCCGAACATAACAAAACTTTAATACTTTCTAAACGTTTTGGGGAAAATTCCTTGGGGGGGGGGGGTATCAGGTATTGCTTTTGCTGAGTGGCCAAAACAGCGAACTAAATGGTTCTAAACGCGTATCGTCATGTGACACATGCGGCGAAGATTGTAACAGGCGTGGGGACCACGAGGAAGGCCGGCCAGCGTGAAGACTGAGAGCAGTTGGAAGTTAATGGTGGAGTATGCCGTCAGGGCTGCACAGGAGTTCCGGGAACCATTTCCGTCGCTCTCTTTCTCTCACGCACACGAGGCGTTGCCTACAGGTGCGAAAAAGACACGAAAATGGCCCTCGGCTCGGAATAAGTATGGAGCCCCGCCTCTTTTCCTTCTGGCTGGTGACAGGTGAGGACGGCCCTTCTTGGCTGTCTCGTAGTTCGAGGAAGGGGCGCGCACTGGCCAAGGAATATCGACGGCGATACGTGGATGCCGAGATTAAAAGGGCATGGCGAGCGCCAACGCCAAATCATCGATTTGGATAGGGCATTCGACCTTTGATTCAACCTGAGCCCCCACAGAAATAAATGTGGTGCACTTCGGGCCTCCTTGTGAAACCTTTTCCCCTTTCATAAGGATCCTCGTCAACGAGCGTTTTTTTTTCCGTAACCCGACCCTTTTTCCTTCAAGACAGGAACATAGAAAGAGTGCAAAACTGGGTTCGGGCAAGGCATCTTGACCAGGGATATCTGCACTGGTGATCGGTTTCAAAAGTGACAAAGTGAAAGAAAAGTGTGTGGGGTAAGGTGCCCACGGTGAAACTGATGTCTGGGTGATTCCGCGCGTAGAAGGCGTTTTCGTGTCCACCCCCTCCCCCCCCAACCCCCCCCCCCCCAGGGCAAATTTATTCGAGTGCAGTCCATTTATGCACTTAAGAACCTTGTTTGGCACCAGACTAGCTTGTTCCCTTTGAATATGGACTTTCAAAGCCTACATATGACGCGGGAGGGGGGCCACACTGTTAGGGCCGGCCCTATATAGTTGTACAAACATCATCCATGCCCAGAAGTACGGACGATATTCAAGTTAGAAAGTACGATGGAGTAGCAAGAGGGTAGTCAGGTACAGGAGTACGTACATAGTGGCACACGCCGGGGCCGTCCCCCCACCACTTCTAGCCGCGCCGGACGGCCCCGCCCTCCGCTCCCTTTCCGCTACATCCCTGAATGCCCCGTGACTTGTGGATTGCACGTCGTGTGCGTCTCAGAACTACACCGGATGTACGTCTCGCTTGTATGGTCTGTTCAACCGGGGTCGGGTTTGGGGGGTGGGGAATGAAAAGCTGGAAATGCTGGAAGTATGATTTTATTGCAAATTGATTGTCCTAACTGAAAATGTAAAAATAACCATGATCTCTTTCCAATAACACTAATTGATTCAGAAATGAACACCCACTAAAATGGAATGCTATTGGAAGAGACCTGAAGAAAATTGAGAACAAAAATGATAAAACAATCTCCCTATTGCTCTAATGCACAGAAAAAGTAACAAAAGTATTCACAAATCACCCAATAAATGAAAATTGCTGACGTGCATAAATAGACCATTAATTGAACACGTTTGTTCTTGCAGACAGGAAAAGTGTAAAAATAACCATAATCTCTTTCCAATGGTAATTAAATAAGAAAGTAAAAGGTGTCGTCAATAACAAATAGACATAACAGGGCGATTCCATGCCAAACCAACGAACGCTTGGAATTTCATCTCTCCGATTTTGATGAAACTTATTTTGGGGGTAGGGGTCATCATAAAAAGACCCCCTGCCAAAGGGTTTTGCGATATCTCACCCCGCTTGGCTGTGACAAGATATCAAAGTTTTAGCTTTAGTCAAAATCATGACATTTTCTTAAATTTCCTCTTTTCTGGCTGATTTTTTTTTGGATTTTTTTCCATAATGTTTTTTTACGTAAAAAGAGCTGGGGAACACGATGAAAACGGTTTCGAGACGATTTGGTGAAGTTTTGATGCCAAAATTTTCACTTTTCGTCATATTTTTTCGAAAAATTGCCATTCCCAAAATAGCTCATCTTCGATTTCGACCTAACTTTTACCAAATGATCTCCTAGCATAGTGGAACAAAACTCTAAAAGGGTTTGGTCGGCCCGCCCATAGGATCTGAGAAATCACAAAAACAAATTTTGAAAAATCACCAAAATCGTGTATTTGAGGTGGTGGTGGTGGTGTGGGTTCTTGCCTGCGCTGCGCAGCCGTCTGTTCAAGTCAACATCGACTTCCCCGCTCGGCGTGCGAAGAAAAACCACCCGCCAGGAGCGCCTGTGAAGCTCGGATAGGCAACCCGCAGGCCAGAGTGCGCATGTGCGTGCGTTGAGTTGCCTACCTTCCATTACCATTACCACTAAGTGCTAGACCACACATGAGTTAACTGAACTTCACTGGAAAGGCTAGACCACAATCAATCGTGTGTACAAGTCTATGTTTCTTCTGTTAAAATGGTGAACAATTATGTTGTAGAGGCGGAAGAAAAGGTGGGAGAGTTAAATTAGATAACGGTAAATACCTATTATTTACTCAATTTTAATTTTGTACGCAAATGAAAAGAAAAACAACTCATTTGGAACAAAGAAAATAAAAACTATCAACAAACACACAAACCAACAAAGGTATGATGAGATAATATCTACTTACATTATATTGCGTTGCAGACTTTGAGAACAAATAAGAGCCTAGAGGAATCATATTATAATGTTCTGTAGCTGATGCGCCTTAGTTTTAACAAGAAGTGGAATTCGGAATCATAATTGGAGGCCGAGATTCTCTGAAACATGCGAAAAAGAGATTAGCACCTAAGAGTTCATAACCTCAGAAGTGGTATGGCAAAGTATTACCGAACTTGCAATTTTCATCGGAAAATCTTGCGGAAGCTTAAGATATCCCTGTGTGAGTGCCGAACACGATAAGGCTCGTAAAACTCTTCGAGTTCACAACTACAGGTTATCGGCAAAAACAAAAGTTCGCTTTCAGTGCGGACCTTGCTAGGTTACGGGCCGCGGCGCCCGGCTGCCGTTAGAAAGTTGAAATATTGCTTACCTTTTTATTCCTTGTTGAAGAGATCACTGGAGTTTAAACTGTGTTGCACTTCCATCTACACTCGTGGACAAAATTAAAGGAACTTTTTTTTGAGCTGGCCGTAAATACCTTAGTTTTTGTCCGATCTTAACGAAACTTCGTGAAGGGCAGCTTTGAAGAGTCCTCTTGGCGCATGAGAAATTGCATTTGCGAGGATTGATGTGTAGGGGTGGTTTCACCCCCGTTAAGGGGGTGGTGCCGAAAAACGCAACTTTTGAAGGGTCCACAGGGGTCGCGGTGGGTTCGAAAAATTTCAAAACCACTCAGGGCGCTTCGTCTTGACGCCCTCT